CAGAATGGAATTGATTTTAATTAAAACGCGTACGAGTATGTATGTATGGGTGCAGTTGTCTAATGTAATGCTCTCGTAGTCAAGTAAGTAAGTAAGTAAGTAAGTTGGGTTAAGTAGTAAAATAAACTGTCTCCGGTGAAATTTCCTCCCCGAGAGCATGATGTTTGCACGGGGTGTAAGAATACGTGTGGCGCAGGAAGTTCGAGAGTCGCTCTGTACCCCACTGTACCATGTATACATAAGCTGATAATTACCATAATTGAATCAGAGCGCACCGTCGTCGTATAAGCGAGCGAAATTTCGTAATAAACAGCACAACTCTTGTTCTTGTTCCACGCGACTATATATATCTACTCTCGGCTGTGCATAGCTACGCTATGTGTGAGTACTTACACTATTTTGGCGCTCAATAGAAACATACTTAGTTCATGTTTATACTTATACGCGCGCAAAGAGAAAATTTCATTAGTTGCTATTCGTGGGAAAAACAATGTTTTTGAAATGTCCATATGCAAAAATGGTAAAACCTCCAAAAACGTAATGAAAAATTGAAATAAATTTGCAATTTTTTAATAAAACTCCTGGCGCACGGACACAGAGAAAGAGGGGGGAGGAAAGTAGAGCTGAAAAATGTAATAACCCTTTAGGTCGAGGGAGAGAGAGAGAGAGAGAGAGAGAGAGAGAGAGAGGACAAAAAACGCGAAACAGTCCGAGTCGTGGTGCATATGTAGCTCGGTGAACGAGTGACATTTAAATGACTCGGGGCGAGTATGTCCGAGCGGAGCCAGTGTACGGTAACAGACAGCCGACGTCGATGCAAATGCCCAAACAACGTTTGCCATTCGAGTGGACGGGGAGACAGAGGAAAGACAGCTACTAGGGGGGGGGGGGGGGTAAAAAGAGCACGTCGGGCCGAGGGGCGAAAAAGGGTTCGGATGGGAGGCGCGCTCGGACCGCGGTACGTGCTCGCGTTGTTCAAGTCCGTTCGCAAGGAAGAGCGGACGTGAGGTATGGACCGATGGGAAGACGAAGGCGTTTAGCCAGTCGAGGAAATGAAGGCTACGATAGACTCGGGGAGACGAAAGCTTCGAGCTTGTACTTCATTTGGCGCGTACGAGAGTTGTTCGGGTTATCGAGTTAATGTTTGAAACTTCTTTTGTCGCCGTCGTTTTCGCAGCTGTGCTGGTGGTGGCTAAGAGGATGGATGTATTTTTTTTTTTTTATTTACGACGCCGTTCCACCTGGGCGGGTAAGCGGACTTGCGGGCTCTGCAACTTTTCAACTCGCCCGCCCCGAAAGAAGTTAAGAGGGGCTTGGAAACGAATTTTTATCAGATTTTTCGCAGCTGTCAGAGCCAGCCGGGCCGGAGTGCCTTCGACTTGCGCTCGCCTCCCTTTGATCGGAGCGATGGTAAAAATAATTTTGTTTGCTCTACGGAGGTGTGCCAGCAAGTGGCATGGAGTTGAAAACAAAAATGATAACTCGATTAACTGTTGTTGTTTCTGTTGTTGTTTTCGTTGTAATCGGGGATCATTCCGTGGCCTCGAAAACTCACGATTCACAAACTTTGCGCAGCCACGAAAACTCTCGAGGGCACAAGTCGAAGGAAAAGTACAGGACGGGTACACGAAACAGCACAGCAGAGCCGATTCGGTTTGAATAAGCAAGTTATTGGGGAGGGGTAATAGCGGGACTTTGACGAGCGCGGAATACGTAATTCCTGGTGCGACGGCCTGTATGTATATATATACGTGTTTACCGTGTCACGGATGAGGCACGTGGTTGTAGACGACGATGATGTTGTGTGGTATTAGGGGTTGAAGATAGAGGTCGTAAACACCTTCCACCCTGCATATTGCTCGGCGATTTTTCAGTTTTCGCAAGCACGGGTGCTTCTTATTTTTCCGTAAGCCCGTAAAATGGGTGTGTTTGATCTGCGTTACCAAATTTTGAAACTGGAGCGCTTTGAGAAATTACTTATTCGGAAAAATTGACTCCGTGAGTGCTTACATAATAAAGTTTCTTCACTTCCATCGATGGTTTACTCTTATTATACTACTTTATCTTCGAATAAAAAAAAAAAATGTATTTTTTGCCAATTAAAGTTAAAAAGTGAGTTTCGATGTACATTATTGAAATGTGGGTGTAACTTTTGTTTTTCTTCAAGAAAAAGCACGAAAACAGATGAATAAATAACAAACAGTTCATGCAATCGGTACAGTCGAGCTTTTTTTTCCTCTTCCATCATCATTTGTTCGAGAAAAAACTCTGTATCACACGAGACTTTGCGTGAAATTCCCTCGAGAAAATCAACTTGGACGTAATGCGCGTGTCGCATCAATTTTCCCAACAACGAACGATTCTGCTCTGGCAGTACCCGAGGTAATTAACTCCCCTTGTCCCTACCCACCCCTACCCTCTATGTACGAAGCTCGGCAACCTCAAACTGACATCGACCACGCGTAACAGACACACGCCATAAAAGAAGTTAAGGAAAGAAGGGGAACAACGTGTGCGACGCGTTAATGAAATTAAGCCGGCGTCGAAAGTGCCAACCGGCAGCTGCCGAAAAATCCACGCGAGCAGTAGCCGCAGACGCAAGCCAAAGTTTTTTTGCGCTACGTGTGTATAGGTTGAGTGCGAGACGTTGTTTCCCGTCGTCTAATCTTTTTCGTTCTTATCCGTACGCGACAACGAGGCAACGTATATAGTCCCCTCTAATCTCTTTTATTTCATTCCGAGAGTTACTTGTGTACCCACTCGAAGGAGGAGGGGGGGGGGAAGAAGATCCGAGTCGACGCGCTAAGGCACACGACAAATCTCTCCCTTTCATCTCCATTAGAAGGCCATTCGGCTTGATTTTCAATCTTCTTCCGTGACTCCTCGTCGGCTCTTTTTTTTTTTCTTTCCCTTCCAAAGCACCGCCGACAGATATGATTACACTCGTAAATAATACTCCAGCGCGGCGTTTATCGAACGCAGCGTACATATCTCACGTGCCGGCCCAACTTGCCCCTGGCGCGTGTATACACTGTAAATCAAAATATCCCGAAAATTTTCCAGCTCGCATTTATCTTTGCCCCACCTCCCTCGCGCCCCGTCCTACTGTTTTTCCTCTGTCCATCATGTATACGCTTTGCTCTCCGTGCCCCCTCGCCCCCACCGCAGCGACGAATTTTCCCGCGAGCTAAAAGTCATTTCCCTCTGTCGACCCTCCAATGCATTTACCGAACATTTCCTTGTTTTTGGGGGTAGTTACAGGTGCGCATCCTTTGTACCATCGCCCTGTCCTTTTTTCACCCACGGCCCGTCTTATTCACCGACGAATAATCAAGCTGGCGAGAAAGTTCGTTCCGTATGGGGGAAAATAGCCGTGGGTCCCGCCAAGTTCTTTTTTTCCCTCCCAGCGTATATTGTGCACGAAAGACGTGGCCTGAGCTAAACGTGTACCTACCCACGGCGTTTGCGTACACGTAATTGACGAATGCAAAGGAGGGAAATGCTCCGAGATCTTTCTTTCCTCTCTCCTCGGTTTGTTTTGAATGAGTTGTGCGACTGTAGGTTGTGAATATTTAATGTGTTAGTAAGGGCCATTGTTGAAATGCATTTCATAAACGAGTGTTGGTATCAAGATAATATAGGCTTGAGCATTTCGTATTTTATGAATATTCATGTGGGGGATGACTCTTTAAAGTGTTACTTGAAAAGTATGAGGATAGAAACAAACTTGCGCATATATCTCGCCGAATTCTTTACGTAAAATTAATGTGGAGAGCAAACGATATCTATTCGGTACATCGTCATCCACAGGCAGTCCAAAAAAAATGTCTCATCGTATATCAGTCCATGTTAGGGTGATCGTTATAACCATACGGGCCTCTCGACGCAGACTGCATACAAAGGTTACTTCTCGTGGCATTTTCCCCCTGTTAATTACCGTAATAAGCCGGCCGAGGCAGGGACGTTTTTCCCCCTGTTCCTTCCCTCGAGCATCTTACACCGTGCCCCTCCGGCGACGCAGCCACGATGATAACCGCAATAATGGCCAAAGAGTCGGAGGGAGGAAACGGAAGACCAAAGCAGACTAGGGAGTCTGCCGTGTCTTTTGATGTTTGCCGGGGGGGCTCCTTCTGCCCTGTATGTGTAGGCACGGCACGAATGTTAAAGCCCAGGGATGGGGGGGGGGGGATTATGAAAAGTCCCCTCCTCTCTTGCGCTACTGATAAAATGACGCTTATTCATGCACCCCCTCCACCCTTGGCTCGTGTATACCTACTTACGTATAATTCCGTGAGAGCCATAGTTTCCGTTGCTCTCTTGTGGTTCGACTCAATGAGATTTTCTCGCCCTCTTTGGCTACACGATTTACCGTTTCAAATGAGAAAATTTAGATCGGCACCTGCATGGTTGAAAATTAAAAGTATAACGAAATCAGTACAAAAGGAGGGGAAGCTAACGAGGCTACGTCATCCCTCTGTCCCTCGGAATGAAAATTTGTAAACTCTTTCACCGTTGCGGGAGGTATCGCTCGCGCGAAATCCCTCCGTGGTGGGTTGGAACTTAATTAACAGGTTTTTTTTTTTTTTTTTCCCCCAGAGGAAGCCCCTCTCATTCAATTTATTCTCTTAATTCTGGGAATAGAAGGTGGGCGCGTCCTGCGCTCACTCGCGGCGCAGTTACGACGTTGGCGGTAATCTTCTTTTCCCGGGGATCGCTTAATTAAAAGAAATTCATTCGGGGATTGGCCGCCCAGGGCCAAAGGGAACGCCACGTTTGGCTCTTTTTTACGATTCTCCTGCCCCGTAATAACCCCCCCTCCACCACATTCACTTCTTGCTCTTTATACTTTAGTGCGCCAATAAATTGGAGCGCTTGTTTTTAGCGAGTGTGTGTACACAAGTTGTCTGTAATGTTGTATTATGCCGATGTGCTTGATTCTTCAAGTTCCAGATGATGTGCCCGCGGAGAGCAGTCAGTCGCGGAACGGAGAGGCAGGTCAGATCGAGGGTCTCTTGAATCACGACGAGGAGGACGAGGAGGACGAGGACGAAGAAACGGAGCAGCCGCGCTATCACGAGACGGACTTTCAGTTTATGGACTTTCTCCAGAGGTGAGTTTTTTTTTTCTTTTTTTTCTCGAGGGGACGAGTGTCTTTCAAAAATTCGGTCGATTATCGTGTTTCAGGTTCGTGAACATGAGGGCCGTGAAGAACCTGACGATTCTCTTCCAGCAGTTCGAGAAGAACTCGAAGGAAGTCAACCACTACATTCTCAAGATGTACCACCGCATAGCGGTCGAGTGCAAGATGCCCGCCATGCTTTACCAGGCCTCGATATTCCGGGTCTTTCAGAAGATCTTCGAGCTAAACGACCCGCTCCACAAGGTTTTTAATTTTCCTTTACATCCGTCCGCGTATCTTGAAACTCGTCGCCGATCGTAAAAACTTTCCGCGGTTTGTTTGACCACCGTTTGGTTCGTTAGATTCTCCCATTGTTGAGGAAATAAGAAATGTCAATATCCTTGTGCTCAGGACATGGACAAGTTCGCGCGCTACATATTCTCGAGCTTTGCAAAAGTGGCGGCAAAGAATCCGAAAGCCTACATGGAGTTGTTGTTCTGGAAGTCGACGAAGGAGGCCATTGAAATGACGGATGGCTACGACACGGAGCACGAGGCCAGGGGCAAGAAGGCCGCGCGCAAGGCTTGGTCCGACGTTGAAGAGGACGAGTTGCGCACCCTCTTTATGGAGCATCAGACCAACAAGTACCCGCAAGGTGGGCTCTCATTTTTTTTCTCCTTCGTTACTCTTGGATTTACGATCCTTTATTTGATGATGTCTCTGGATATTGACGTGGTATACGGTTTACGATGCTTCGATGGGTACAATAGGCTTTCCGACATTTACGGCGTTTCTTAGTTATGGGGGGTCCGAATAAGCCTTATTTAGTAGATTCATGCCTTTTTTATCAAATAAAAATAAGTATTTGCTGGGTGGACTTGAAAAGTGTCAAAATTTGGATTCACGACTGAAAAAGCACGCGAGGAAACAAATACATCTACCGTAAGGCATATTCATGTGAAATATTATTTCATATAGCACTTTTGATATACTTACCTACCTTTTCCACTGCACTTACAATGATAATAATAATACAAAACCACAATAGAGATGTTGATTGTTGCACTTTGTCGAAGCTCGGTTGTTTTGAAAATTATTTCATCATTGTGAAGCTTCCACTTATTGTAAGCTCCAGTGAGCTTTTGCGATGCAACGATCGTGTAATTTTGCATGAAAATTTTCAAATAAGCTCGGGATGAACAAAAAGAGATTTCGTTCTCGTTGACGAAAATAAAGCTCTCGTTCACAAAATAATGGATCTTCCGTGATTCAAATTAAAATGCTTTTGTTCTCGGGCAACGACGTCAATGGGCTCCGTGGCATCTTATTTACGTTTAATGGGGCGTCCCGAGAAAACAATTGTCCCCAGCCAACAAATGCCTTTCATTCCAGATGTGATCGATTTCATCCAGAAGAGTTTGATCAACCAGGACCGCACGAGGCGCGCCATCATTAAGAAGCTCAAAGAAATGTGTCTCATTGTCAATTCAAAGGTGAGTAATCGAAATGCAAAAAGAAAAACATTAAACCGTCAGAAACAGAATCAGCTTTTCGTTCGTCCATTCGTTCAGCTTTAATTCTCATCGCCCTACATCGTACATCTTGAACCAACGATCATCTCTTCACATAAATTAAAGAATAACGAGCAAAACAAAAAAAAGGTCCGAGGGAACGAAAGCGCATAGCGAATTTGACGAAAAAAAAGGGGGGGAAGAATGAAATACTAAAAACGGGGGATACGCAAAAGTACGTGGCTCGGGCTTCTGGGCGTTTTTCCGTGCGCCCAGTTTTCCCTCCTCGATTCCCCCAAGACCGAGAGACACTCTCCGCGTCGTCGATGATTTATGGGGAATGTTGCCTAGAGGTAACCTGGGGACGGAGTTTTAAACTCGAAAAGTGTCGTCACTGCGCAACAGCAGCGATGGGTACAGGTAACCAAATAAAAATGCGTATACAGGTCAACGCGTGTAAAAAGCGAGTCGCTCCCTTATGGGGATTACACGCCGTCGCGTATACTCGTGGGAGGCAAAAGCTTCCTGCCGCGATGGATGCTGGAGTACAGGGGAGGATATTCACGTGCGACGTGCTCGCCTGTGTAACTCGGGTTGTTTCTTTTATTTATTTATTTCATTTTTTTTTTTTTTTTTTTTTTTTTTTTTTTTTTTTTTTTTTTAATGGACATTTAGTGCCTTTTTTCTCTTTCTTTCATTTTGTTTAAACGCGACAAACAAATAAAAGTTTTAAAACCATGTCAGATCGCCCATATGATTATACCCTTTCATTGGTTGACACAAACATTCATTTTATATTTAATCAAATTAAATACGAAAGCTCGTATCTTCACGGTATATATGTATATGTTGTTCGTATACAATTCACCTGATGAAAAGTTTTTAATTCGGCGTTCCTCTGCCATTTTGCTAATCGCGTTACGCGAAAGTAGGTCCCTTAATAATTCAAGATATGTAATGAGCAGAAACGCCTGAAAGCTTTTTCAACCAAATTGAGAGCTCCTTGATTTTTATATGTATTGGAACAAGCACAGCCAGTAATTTTATCGAAATAATCGACGTATTCCGTACAAAAAAAATTGATTGTCATTTAGATAACCTTTTTATCCGTATTTTTATATATATTACAAATTGTCAAGCTTCCTCTTTTTCGCGTGAAAGGTTTCATTATCTCTGCTAAAAGGTGATATCTTTGTTCGTCCATTTGTAACGCGAAAAACGAAATTGGACCGGAGATACAAGGTTTTTGCAATCGTTTCATTAATCGGAGCGGGCAGCTGCATCGATTCGCGTAATTTGGCATCGTACCATTTTTCCCTGGCGTTTCGTCGATATGCATAACAAAAAGCGCTTTTAATGACACTACTTTGTATACAATAGCTGCTGATGCGATCACACACGCCGGAGATAAAAGCGCCTTTTTGATTGGATTTTTTCAAAATGATGGGCTTACTCGTGTATTATTTCAACGCACAGGGTTGATCAGGTCTTGTTGTTTGTTCCAGTCCGTGAGAGCGGAAGTGCAAAAGAGGCTGCCCAAGGAATGGTCGGAAGAGGAAATTGCCGAGCTCACGGAGTTGTGGGAAAAAGTTCGAGAGGAGGATGGTACGTATACTTTGCGTTCTGGTAATCGTGATTCAAAAGTCGTTGGTAAAAATTTCACAAGCCACGCTCAATTTTCGTAGATCCCGTTGGTTTAATTTACGATGCGTTGAGAATCAAGCGCTCGAAGCCGAAAATCAAGGAAAAACTTTTGGAACTCCATTTGGCTACAGACCCGAAGCAGCTGAGAAAGAAGAGGACAAGAAAGAGCGATGGTACGAAATTAAATATAAATGCATGAAACTTATTTTTAAATAAATATGAAAAGAGCTAAATGACGCCGGGCATTATCACCATCCAGTGGGACAAGTAAAAGAAGAAAGAGGCCGATGAAATAAAATAAAATGAAAATGAAACAGCGATGGCCCCGTGAATCTCGGCAAATTAATTCCAAGCCCCTGCCGGTGAACAATACGCACGCGTGTCTACCCGCGAACGACATCATCGAAGCCTCTGTGCACCACTGCGACCGTGTGTGCACGCATAGTCCCGGATCCATTGTTGTTTCTCTTGTTTTCCATCAAACTGTCACATAGAGAGAGAGAGAGAGAGAGAGAGAGAGAGGGATTGCGTTTCCACGCGCTCATGCAGGCATGAGGCCACAATGAGCCAAAATGCGTTGACGCGATTTCGCTACTGCTGCTGCGCGTTTATCTGCCGCCTCTCGTTCTCCTCTGCCAACACAATTGACACAATGACGCTACTGCAGCGTAGGGCTTTCTAGCTTTTTTCCCTCCATGATACTGTTTTTTTAGCGTCGTTTAAATCGTTTATTCTTTTGTTCTAGCGCGTCGGAAAATGAGGGCTTTCAGCCGTTTGTTATTTTACGTTGAAAAGAGGGCGCAGTTTCATTTTTCAACTGCATATTTTCGATCTTGGTTTGCTTCGCAAAACAAATAATAACGCTTTCCTTGTGTACCTTTGTGCAACGTTACCAATGCAAATCGCCATCTCGAGTAACAGGACACCCAATAGAAAAGTCCAAACGAAAAAATAATGGAGCATGTCTTTGCTTTGACACCACGTACGTACATGTAGCTTCACTTTGGCACATCTCAGTCGCCCGGAGTTCCGTAAAAATTGTTTCTCACGTCCCTATTTGGTTCTTATGGCACAGCAAGAGAACAGATACGTCTATTTCAAACTTCGCTTCTGCTGCTGAATAACGGAAAAGAAAAGTGTGCCTTCCGGGCTTAGTGTATCGAAGGAAAAGGAGAGACACTCTGGGAGTGCGAAGCACAGTTTTTCCTCCCAACTGAGCCTTTCCAAATGTATTTTTTTCTGTTCTACTTCAATAAACAAACGCGTACCTTCCTCCCTTTGAGCTCGAGTTTGTCTGATGGTTAGTACAGGCAGAACAGTTTCAATATCGGCATGTATGCGCCCTATCAATCTTGTATCGCACTACAGGGATTGAATGAATTTATATAAAAGAGCGATATTTTGCATTTATTTGCGATTCGGATCGAATGTAACTCTCGGATTGTGTATTACGCTGTACATGTATTTACAGCGATCAATCATATAGCACATTTGTACTGTAATCGAGTTAAGTTTTGTTTTTTAAAATTACACATTGCAATTTTGAGTCGACTTTTAGACTCAATTTCACGAAAGCCCTTACTGTATTTAAAATTATTCCAGGTCCAAGATCAGCGTGGGAAGCTCAATCCGCAAGCGAAGACGAGGACGACTCGAACTCAGATTCCGACGACGGTGGAGACGGTCAGGATGGATTCGGCTCAAGAAGGGACAAGAAGAAAAAGAAGGATCCAACGAGGAGAAGGAAATCCAAGCAGCCTACGATCGTTTATACAGACGCTCAGTTGTCAGGATTACTGAAAGACGTCATTGAGAAAGGTACAGAGATAAGCTCTCTTCTCGGCTTTTTCTTTCTTTTTTTCATCCCTCCCGATTTGTGCGAAAATCCATCCCTTTAAATAACGTGCAATGGGTAGAGCTATAGGTGTGAGAGGATGCTTTTTTTTTTATTTCACATGTGATTTTTTTCTTTCTATCCTGTTGTATAATATTGTTATTTTTGTAAGGCTTTATTTTCTTCTCGGGGCGATTTTCACCCGCAACAATATTTTTTTCCCTCGTTATATTTCATCTTACCGCACGCTGCCTCCTCATTATAAATAACTAGGTCACACTGTATTAACATTGATATGTCACGAACATTTCCAACAAACATCCTCATGATACTCGACTAGTTTGAGCAGCAACCCCTACTGAAATTGAATTTAATAATTACGCAATGTCATGATGCACGTCTAGAGTGCGGAGCTTGAAAACGTAAAGTGATTTTTTTTATTTTTCAAGGCATGGAAGCGACGCTACAGTGGTTGAAGGAGTCACTCGAGGAATCGTTAGAGGACCGTGACGAGGAGAGTCCAGAGGACGAAGCTCTAGTGCCATTGACAGCCGAGGTCTCGAAGTCCATGGACTCGCCCAACTTCCAGCGTTTGTTGCGAGGCATTGGCATCCAGGCGCCGGATCTTGAAGAGTCCTACTGGCGCATACCTGCTACTATGCTCGTGTCTACGATCAAGAAGCGCTGCAGTGCGATCGAAGCTGCTCTGCGTGGAGAGTTTATTACTGAAGGTAAGGCAAGAAATGCATTGATAATTTGTTTTATTAACTGATTGATTCTTTTTTTTCTTTCATCAATTGTGTAGTTGCCAGAAAGGTTGATGATTCTGAAAGTGATGACGACGATGGTGTATTTGAGCGGTTGAGAAACATAGCGAAAATAAATGAAGAAGGTAATTATTAACTATTTCTTTTGCAAATTACTGAAAAGGTATTGATTTATAATTTTCTCTACACTGAACTCTTATAAACGTATAGTTTACGTAAAGCAACATAATACAATTTTGTAATCCTTAGAACACATATTTAAACATTTAACAGATTCTATGCACGAAACTTCGAATCCTCAAAAATCTGGAGCAAGCAAATCCATTGCACGAAATGCGAGCGAAAATGCTGTAAGCCCTGCATCTGACAAGGAAAATCGTGACTCTGAAAATGGAAACGTTTTGAGTGGTAAGCATCCATTGGATTTTTTTTCCTCTGTATACACGTATTTCATTTTACTTTTGTAAATACATTTATTTCTACTTCTCTTTCAGCTCCAGTTGAAAATTCACGATCGCAGATCATTTCGTCGGATTCTGAAGAGGAACTGGTTTCTTCTAAGCAGTCTATCGTGAATTCTGCAAAAGGTACATACAAAATGCTGACATATTATTGGTATTTATTACCTTTTGGAATTTTCATGCAGTCAAATTTTAATTACCGTAAAAATACGTAAAACAGATGGATCTGGTAAATCAAAACGGTTAATTGAATTGGACTCTGAAGACGGAAAAATGGAGACAGGAAGCGAAGAGCAGAGCGACGTTCAATATAAAGTTGGTTCACAGAAGGGAAGCGCGAAATCAAGTCGAATACGAAAAGTTTTGGACTCGGATTCCGAGGAGGAAGCGGAAAAAGTTTCCCAAGATGTGGAAGAAGCGTTGGGTTAGAAATTTATTATAATTCTTTTCAAAACTATATTCTCTATAAATTAATTTAATTATTCCTCACCCGTCATAGGACCATCCAAAAGAAATATTCCAGATACCGATTTTGAGGAACCTACTAATAAAAAGCGAAGATTCATCGACAGTGATGAAGATGATAATGCAACGCCAGAGGCGGAAAAATCAATGGAAAAGAAGCAGTCCAGAGTTATAAGCGATGACGAGGATTAAATGTAACTTCATTTTAAGTCTGTTAAAAATGTAAGTTAATTCAAAGTACACTTTTATCAATCGTAACGAAAGGTGTCAGTGCTAACTTCTAACTACGATATTTACCGTGCAAAGTCAAAGAATGTCTTAAGATTCCTTAAACTACTTATTTTGAACTTTTTATACTTAGTTTTGAAAAACAACAGTTAGAAATAACCTTGTATCATTTACAATTTCAAAGACCATTTTTACTCTTAGAACACTTTGATTATTATCATTTTCATATTTATCAAACTAGTTGACTAGTTATTTATTAGATTTCTAAACCTTGCAAATAGCCATTGAGATATCGGCATTTCTTATTTATTTAATCATTTAAAAAATTAAGTTCATCTTACTGTATTGTGTTGAAAAAGAAGTGCACCTGCAAGTGTTTACCAATGTTGTATTTGTTTTGTAATGATAAACATATTTGCTAAATAAATGTTTTTTTTTGTTTTTACAAATGTTTAATATTTGAGCATTATGTTACGATACAGATAAATAAACTAAGAAATGAAAAAATAAACTAAATTACTTTCGAAGCACAATATGTTTTATTAAAAGCAATTGTATAATCTTTACGTTTGTGTACACGATCATCAAAAGGACTTTGGCACATTTAAAATCAACTGTTTACCAATGTTGTATTTGTTTTGTAATGATAAACATATTTGCTAAATAAATGTTTTTTTTTGTTTTTACAAATGTTTAATATTTGAGCATTATGTTACGATACAGATAAATAAACTAAGAAATGAAAAAATAAACTAAATTACTTTCGAAGCACAATATGTTTTATTAAAAGCAATTGTATAATCTTTACGTTTGTGTACACGATCATCAAAAGGACTTTGGCACATTTAAAATCAACGTATTTATAAAAGAAAAAGTTTGTCTTTTTTTTTTTTTTTTTTTTTTTTTTTTTTTTTTTTTTTTTTTTTTTTTTTTTTTTTT